AGGGGTTGTTTGTTAGAAATAACTAAAAATAAAGTAAGTAGAATGGTTGTGACAACTCGAAGTGAAAATGTAGCATCTATAATGGGAGCACTTGGAGAACACATGTATCATCTTGAAGGACTAAAAGATGAAGAGTGTTGGTCTATAATAAAGCAGAGAGCATTCGGAGGTACTTCAGTGCTGGATCTGGAGTTGGAAGCGATTGGAAGGCAGATCGCTAAAAAATGTAAAGGTGTACCCTTAGTTGCCAATGTCATTGGGGCTAGTCTGAGTAATCAAAGGGATAGGGGTGAATGGGTGTCAGTTAACAATAGTTTGAGTTCACTGGAAGATGATAGGTGGACATGGACTGTTCGAGTTTTACAGTTGAGTTTTGATCGCCTACCTAACACAACATTGAAGCAATGTTTTGCCTTTTGTTCCATTTTCCCCCAGGATTGGAAAATTGAAAAGGAGATGTTAATTCAACTTTGGATGGCTGAAGGCTTTCTTCAACCATCACAGGGAAGTTCTATGGAGGATATTGGTGACAAGTATTTCAATGACTTGTTGTCATATTGTTTGTTTCTAGAGGACTATAGAGATTCAACTGGAAAGATTAAGTCATGCAAAATGCATGATTTAATTCATGATCTTGCCACTTACAATTCAAAATCTGAAACACTTATTTTGAAAGCTGGTTCAGAGAGTAACATTGCACATGTTCGGCATTTGAATCTTGTTGATGCTGAGGAAATGGTGCCTACAAATTTAGCAGAGGTGGCTGGAAAACTACACTCCTTGTTTCTCAAAGGTGATATTTTGTGCAAGATGCCAGATAGCTTCAAAAGGTTACGCATTCTTAGCTTTGATGAAGCTGCTGTTGAGCAATTGCCAACTTGGATTGGCAAGATGAAGCATTTGAGGTATCTAGACATTTCAAGCACCAACATTAAAGAACTACCCCAGTTTATCATGGAGTTGTATAGTTTGCAGACACTGAGGTTCATGTGGTGTTCTCGGATTGTAAAACAGCCAGAAGGGGTGGAAAACTTAGTCAGCTTGAGACACATTTATTTCAATTATCGCCGCTGTATGCCACTCAGAATTGGTAGGCTGAAGGATCTTCAAACGTTGCAGTTATTTGTTGTCAATCTACAAAAGGGAAGGCGAATTGAGGAATTGGGATGCTTGAGCCAACTTGGAGGTGAATTAAGGATATGTTGTCTACAGCATGTTGAAAACTACTCAGAAGCCAAGAAAGCAAAACTTTCGGAAAAGATTGAACTTTATAAGTTGAGTTTGGAATGGACAGAAAGAAATACAGAAGAATGTAATCATGATGAGGATGTGTTAGCAGGCCTCAAACCTCCCCCAAATTTGAGAAACTTAACTATAGAATGTTATGGAGGTGAAAAATGTCCATCATGGATGCAGCCTCGTTCGAGTGGATCATTTTCGCTCAACTATTTGGTGGAATTGAATATCTTCGGATGTAAAAAGTTGAAAAGCATGCCAATCATGATCGGGTTATCATCTATTCAACAGCTTCGAATTAGAGATTGCCTTGAATTAACCAGAATCGGAGATGGAGTATTTGCCTTTCCGAAGTCCCTCAAAGGACTAGACATTGGGTCATGTCCAAGATTGGAAACAATTGGGGATAGTATTTCAAACCTCACATGCCTAGAAGAGTTAGATCTATCTGGATGTGAAGATCTGAGGCTCATTCCAATCATGAGCGGGTTATCATCTCTTCAACAGCTTCGAATTCAAGATTGCCTTGAATTAACCAGAATCGGAGATGGAGCATTTGCCTTTCCGGCGTCTCTCAGACAACTACGCATTTGGTCATGTCCAAGATTGGAAACAATTGGGGAAAGTATTTCGAACCTCACATGCCTAGAAGAGTTAGATCTATCTGGATTTAAAGATCTGATGCCCATTTCAAGTGTAAATGGGCTTTCCTCTCTAAGAAAGTTACGGATTTGCAATTGCAGTTCAGTGGTGAGTCTACCAAATGGACTGTCCTCCTGCACTGCTCTTAAAGAATTGATCATAGGTCACTGCCATAATCTGATCTCCATCTCAGAAGACTTGAAGGATTTGCATTCTCTGGTTGATTTACGTATTTTCGAATGTGAAAGTTTGAGCAGTATTCCGGAGGAGAGCTTCAGCTGTCTTGTCTGCTTGGAGTCTTTGCTTATTGGTCCTTTCTCAAAAGAGTTGGAATTCCCACATCTTAATTCCATCCACCACCTCCACGCCTCGCTTCAAGAATTAGAGTTGTATGGGTGGGAAAAACTAACGTATCTACCACCTCAAATTCAACACCTCACTTCTCTAAGGAGTTTGAACATAGTTGATTTCAATCTAGTGGAAGCTTTGCCGGAGTGGTTGGGAAGCTTGTCATCTCTTCAAACTCTGTTGATTATTCGCTGCGCAAATTTGAAATATCTGCCTTCTGCACAAGCCATGCAACGCCTCTCCAAGTTGCAGCATCTTGGAATTTTTCGATGTCCAGAGCTAGAAGGAAGATGTGCAAAGGAAACTGGCCTTGAATGGTTCAAAATTTCTCACATTCCAAACATCCAAATAGATATTGAGCGCATCCAATAACAAGGACATTGAGCCCTTTTTCTGAGGTATATTTAAATTTCTCAATCCTCAACTTCTCTTCTTCCTTATAATAAATTCCACCACTAATTTTGCTTCTTTCATCAATTCAGACTTAAAAGCAACAACAAAAGTCAAATTTATCAATTCAGAGGGT